AATATTCAATTTGGTGAAAAAAATCTTATTCGAATATTCGAATATTCAGTGAATATTCGAATATAGTATTCATCGGATCAGACCTCTACTTCAAATATTATTAACTTATATTTTACTTGTGAAATGTTACACTCGAAAAAATACTTTAAATAATTGACCAATTAGAAGCATTTCCAAGTAACCATATAATGTGTCACGAGCTACTTAGAAAATAACTTTGACGCGTCAAGATATTTTACGCTTTTTATAATAAAGTTTTAATTTAATATCAACAAAGGATGAAAGTTAAAACGTTTCAGATTCACTGGCACAAAGATACATTACCTATCTTTTCTATCCATTTTCAGCCAGGAGAAACCGGCAGGTTTGCAACTGCAGGTATGGATTATAAAGTCATGGTAAGTAAACTTATCAAAAAATGTTTGCCATAACATTACTTCAAGACATAAATATTAAACCTGATAATAGATGTGGAAACTAGTTAAAAATCAAACGGAATTACCTCAAGTAATATTTTTATCAACTTTAAAACACCATACCGCTCCTGTTAACGTGACTAGATTCTCTCCTAAAGGTTTATTTTTTAATCTTTGATAAGGATCTAGTTTTCAATTCTTAACGCGTAATTTCTAATTATCAATTTAAATTTTCTTTTATATCTATCCAAATTCTGAAATTTATATATTAAAAGGTGAACTCCTGGCATCTGCTGGTGATGGTATGCGTTTATTTATATATTACGTTTCAAATATCCTTTAAATTACGTAAAATCAAAAAATAAATAAATAAAAAACAATATTTTTTTATAAAACGATACAGATGGAATTATTTGCTTATGGAAACTTATGGAAAATAAAGATTCAAAGAAAAGCTTTGATGATTCTGATGATGAAACATCTGAGGATAGCGAAACTTGGAAGGCTATTTCATTATTAAGGTATAATCCATTAATTCTGCTTCAAATAATTTTTCTTAATTAACAAAATAGAGAATATGTGCGTTTCTGATTACAGGGGTTCACCTTGCGAAATCATAGACGTTGCATGGTCTCCAGATGGCGAATATATTATTGCTGCATGCATGGATGGTGGTTCCAGGATATGGCGTGTGAAAGATGGTAAAATATTAATTATGGATTTTTTTTTTTTAATAACGCTGGCTTTTTATAAATTTAATCATGAAATATGACTCGTTTTAGCAAAATGTGTTTGTGTTCTGATGGACCATGTTCGTAATGTTCAAGGTGTTGCATGGGATCCACTTGGTGAATATATTGCTACTCAGGGCAATGATCGGTATTTTTAATCTATTTTTTCATTTGAACATTCGTACGTTATTTCTATAATGGTTTATTAACTCAATTTTTTGCTTAGAAATGTTCATATATACTCGTATAATATTCATTCAAATGGTGTATTTGAAATGACTCACGTTAGCAAAAACTTTAAAGTTGAAATTCCAAACAAAAAAAGTCAAAAGTCTTCTGTAAAAGAAGACAACACTACCAAAACAAATGATGACTTAACCAAACATAATTGTAGTGATGATAACCATACTGCAATGCTAGAAAATTCGGAATCTAAGATTGCGGCAAATGATATTTCAAATAATATTAATCCAATGTCAAATGCGACAAATGCGATAGAGTGTTCTGGAAGTATAAATACTGATTCTTCACAAGTGCCAACGGCATCATCAACTCCAAAGCAGTCTAAAAAACATTTTCGATTATATTGCGACGAAATGATAAATACTTTTTTTAGGCGATTAGATTTTACACCAGACGGTGGACTATTACTTACACCAGCTGGACAATATCGCAATTCTATGATTGACATAATAAATAATCAAAATGAAAAGGATGAAAGTAATCATAAGGTCGAAACAGCAATCTTAAATACTGTTTATTTATTTGCTCGAAATAAATTAAATAAGTATGTTTATATTTTATATTTATTTCATTCATTATATCTGATTAAATTAATAAATTATTTTGTTGCATTAGACCGATTGCCTTTCTTCCGGGACATAAGAAACCATCTATTGTTGTAAAATGCAATCATATATTTTATAAATTACGATTTCCTCGAAAAACTCTTCAACCGCAGATTGATACTACAGCATTGCAAACAAGCTCAAATTATTTTATGGCTGACAATTCTTATAGTGATAAATCATCCAGTAATACACCACCTCTATTTGACTTACCATATCGCATAATTTATGCGGTGGCGACTCAAGACTCTGTGTTTATATATGATACGGAACAGTATGCTCCATTGGTTATAGCAACAAATTTACATTTTGCAACGTTTTCTGATATGTCTTGGTAAAATTACTTATTTTTCAAGTATCAACAGTTTTTTATTTTGATTATCAACATGCTATGTATATTATTATATAGGTCACCAGATGGAAATTCGCTCATGCTAGCATCACACGATGGATACTGTTCTGTTATGACATTTCGAGAAGGAGAATTAGGCGAACACTATACTGATTACGTGCCAATGTCCAGAGACAACAAATCCATTATAGATATACCGCAAACTAGTTTAACGGATGCACCTTTGACTAATTCAAATGTTTGGCAAAATAACGATCATGTAAATCATGTACAATTGATTCAAAAAAGTGTTTCTGAAACAGTTACGGTTCCAACGGATTCAGGATCTATGCAACAAAAATCTAATGATATTACTCAGAATCAACACGTACAGAAAAAAAGGAGAATTGCTCCTAAACTTATCCAGCAATTATGACCAGAGAATCTGACCAATAATGAAAAGAAATTTTTACTAAATCTAATTTCGACTTAGCCGTCGATTTCTTAAAGCGATAATAATTCATAAGCTTTTGATCATTACAAAAAAGTTATTTTTTGTATACAGTATATTGCATATATATAGCAAGTAATAAATTGTTACGTATAATAAACCTTTGATACCATATTGTAGATCATCCAATCAAATTAATAGAATATTTTGAAAGGTAAAGTAATTCTATTATCGTTATGTTTGACATAATTAACTCTTGATTATTAAGGATAAATATTAGTACAAGCTTATAACATGTCAAACGGTATATACAAAGTTCTTCGATGTTTAAATTTTAAACGCAATGTTTCAATTTTCTTTTTCGTTGATCGTTTCCAGCGTTTAGTAGAGATGAATATAGAATTTTGGAACCGGAATTATAAAGCCGAACATTCACATGATCTATAGCATTAATGCATAGAGAAAAAGTACTGTATTTGACCATATTCTATATATGAAAAGTAATGTCTTTGTCTTATATATATACTGTAATTTGGCATTACTTTTGTTATTTTGGAAAAATACGTAAAATGATTACAAATCAGTTTATTGGTTAGTTTTTAAAATAAACTATATATTTAGTTTTTTAATATAAAAGTTATGTAACAAGTAAAACATTAGCATATAAAAAAATTCAAAAACAGAGAGGTAAAGGACTGCAATTTTAGTTAATCTTTATGCACGTATTTATTTCTGATCAATCAAAAACTAATTAGGATTATAAACTAATCAAAATTAAGAATTTGTTAACACACTGAAATTAGATATACAATTGCTCCATAGTGTCCTTCAGACAATAAATACTAATATAAAACAAGTATTTTAATTTAGTCTAAAACTTAAATGAAAAGATTATGCATTCAAATCGGAATTATAAATAAAATCTCTGTGTGACGACAATATTCCATAAAATGTTCAAATTTAAGAAAAATTAATTTATAATTTTGATTGAATATTGCCGTCGTCATCAAATGTAGCCACAGAAGACCTCTTACTAAATGGATGCTAGATATATATAAGAAAATTAGTAATTACTATAGTAAATTACTATTAACAACAAAGTAGGTTTTATAAAATCTTAAATAATTTACCTGTACTTTAGCTACAATAATATTATTATCAGTTTCTCGAAGATCCAAAGGAACATAAGATCTAACGCTGGGTCCAACATAAACTTGTCTCGGCCTCCAAATTTTAGATTCTTTATCTTCTAATGATTCTTTCCAATGGGCTAACCATCCTGCAATTCGTGGGATTGCTAAAATAACAAACAAATAAATAAACAAATAAAAATATTAAAATGGTTTAAATGCACTATAAATATGCATATAGTTTAAAAAAAAATTTTTTTTACCAAATAACACAGGAAACATGTCAGTAGGAAAACCCATGGCTTTATAAATTAATCCAGAGTAAAAATCGACATTGGGATAAAGTTTCCGTTTTATAAAATAGTCATCTTCTAACGCAGCTTTTTCCAGTCCAATTGCAACATCTATAAGGGGTTCACGACCACAAACATCAAATACCTGAACAATAAAAAAAAAAGGTTAGATAATTAAATCATCATAAATAAACAAAAAAAAAAACCAAAATATAAAGTTTATTACCTCATAAGCAATTTTTCTAATAATTTTTGCTCTTGGATCATAATTCTTATAAATTCTATGACCAAAACCAAATAATTTTCTTTTTCTTTCCTTAACTTCTTGTAAGAAAGTCGGTATTTTATCTAGTGAGCCAATTTGTTCTAACATTCTCAATACAGCTTCATTAGCACCACCATGAAGCGGACCATATAAGGCAGCCGCAGCACCAGATATGGCACTATAAGGATCAACAAGTGACGAACCAATGTGACGCATCGCAGCTGTTGAACAATTAAGCTCATGATCTAAAAATTAATAAAATTAATTGTTAAACTACGTTATATCAGATATAAAAAAATAATAAGTAATAATAAATATTCTCACCAGCGTGAAGAATGAATAAAACATCAAGAGCTCTGGCTAATTTTGGGTTTGGTTTATAGTTTTTTTCGGACAATTGATCAAGCATATATAAAAAATTTTCAGTATAACTAAGTTTATTTTGAGGAACATTGTAACTTCTAGATAATTGTAATAAATAAAATAAATAAATAAAATGAAAATTAGAACTAATTTTTCAAGTGATTTACACAAAAAATTTTATTAAATAAGAGATAAAAAGCCAACGTACCGACCAATGCGATGACGATATGCGATTCTATGTAATACGAAAAGAAAACCGGTTAAAATCTTTGGAATAAAAATGCAGAAAGTTAAATTTCATAGTAAACTTACGCAGCCAATGTTGGTGTTTTACCCAGGAGTCTATATATTTGTTTGTTCCTAATTCTTTCATCTCGAATAAATAGATCCGATCCCTAATAGATAAATTTATATTCACATACGTATTAACATAGTAAATAATAAAATTAATAAGTAAATATATAATATAGTATATATATTAAAACCGGTGTCAAACTCTAGTGACACTTACAGCTAAGGCCGGATTAGCATCCGGATGAAAAGTACTCATTGCAGAAATACCACTGATAAACATTCCCATGGGGTGAGCGTCATAATTGAATTTGCGCATTAATTCAGCTACGTTGAAATGTACAAAAGTATGATGCATGACTTCGTGAGAGAAATAATTGTATTGTTGTTTCGATGGAAGTTCCCCATAAATAAGAAGATAAGCAACTTCAAGATACGTGGATTTTTCCGCCAATTGCTCAATCGGGTAACCACTT